CAGATTGTTTCTATGGGTAAAAATGCATCTGAATTCCAAACACAAAATGTCAAGATTCTTTACTACAAGTGAAGTGTCTACTGAAACTTTAAAATGGGGCTTGATTCTTCAGTTTTCAAAAGATAAACATGAAAAAAAGGTATTATATAAACTTTGATGTTTTTGAACTGTGGTGCTGGAGAAGACTCTTCAGAGTCCCTTGGACTACAAGGAGATCCAACCAGTCCATCCTTAAGGAAATCAGTCCTAAATATTCATTGGAAGGACTGATGCTGATGCTGAAGCTCTAATACTTTGGCCACCTGATGTGAAAGACTGACTCACTAGAAAAGACCCTGATGGTGGGAAAGATTGAAGGTGTGAGGAGAAGGGGACAACAGAGGATGAGATGGCTGGATGGCATCACCGACTCAACAGACATGAGTTCGAGCAAGCTCCGGCAGTTGATGATGGATAGGGAAGCCTGGCATGCTGCAGTCCATGGGGTCGCAAACAGTTGACAATAACTGACTGACTGAACTATATAATCTAACATAAAAATAACCAATACTTAGAATTTTACATTTAGAAGGGATGCTGTTCAACATGATCTGGAACAACACTTTAATTTTAATGTTAATTCTACATAGCAGAACTGACTAAAGTATACAATGTTTGTACTATGGGTTCCCTCAATTGAGGGGAAAAAAATCGAGACACTGTTAAAGACTATTAGGCATGCATATGCTCTATTTAAAATACAGATGCTTTGGGCAATGATTTTTTTCCTTCACTCAGAATTAAGACTTCAACCATTCTAAATGGAAATGCGAGCATATTTTAAAACCTTCTTTTAGAGTTAATCTTCTCTCTTCAATGCCACCACCTTAAATAGTTCTGATTGCTGAAGAATTTCAACATATTTCATTCGCACAGCCCATGCACACAAATCCCGAAAGAGAACACACCCTCCACACCTGGTACTTCAGCAATCTAAGCAACTCACCAAGTGCTTCTGAGCCACAGTTTCTTCATCTGTAAAATGGAGAAAATCTGACTTTGTTAATTCACGGGGATACAAGAACTAAACTGAATTATGTGAAAACATGCTTGGGTAGACTATTGATATACACAAAAATGCTTGATGTTAAGATTTTCAAATTCCCACATTTCACAGGAAGAAAACAATTTTCCTCCAAATGTTTAGGTGTAGAACCTAAATGGCTTACAGTTGCTAAATACGCATTACATATATTAAAACCAAATGTGATTTTTCTATTGAAAGTTTCTTCTAGGAAAGTAGAACAAGATGTTAAGACTTAGATATCTACGAACACATTTTAATACTTTCCCAGGTGGAGCACGCACTTTGACCACATCCTTCCTGAAGACAGGAATAGTCTCTTAGCAATCATTTTCGCTATAGTAACTGGCTTCCCTGGGGGTTCAGTAGTAAAGAATCCACCTGCCAGTGTAGGAGACACCGGTTTGACCCCTATTCCCTGGATAAGGAAATGGCAACCCACCCCAGTATCCTTCCCTGAGAAATGCCATGGACAGAGGAGCCTGGCGGGCTACAGTCCATGGGGTTGCAAAAAGAGTTGGACACGGTTTAGCGACTAAACAATAAAGTGGCACAGAGACTAGCTCTGTTCTTAATATCAGAATACACTTTTCCAGAATAAAAGTAAAATGTTCGTATAAACATATATGAGGTGGAAAGACATCTGGCCTGGGGGTACAGACACTTGCTCGCACACCACATATAGCCTTGCACAAGTATCCTGAACCTTCATTCCCCTTTAAAAATCTAAAAGGGTAAGACCCTTTTATCTGATGTCAGACACCTGCCCAGAAAACTGCACATAAAGCCCCTGAGTGCCAAAATGAGAGAAGCTTCTCACAGGTCCATACTTTACCCAGAGTGGAGGCATACTCATTTTTATTTCATGAATACTTACAATAAACTTGGTAATGTGGTTAAGAAATAGTTCCCATTGTTGGTTAAAAGCAATGAAATAGATCAAATGTTGAAGGAAAGAAACTGGAGAAAGCCGAAATGTTCTTCTTCCTAATGCATGGAAAGAAACCAAATCTTCCCAAAGAGGGAAATCAAGATTCAGCCCAAAACCATACTATGGCTTAATGTCACTGAACACTTAACAAAAGTCATTCATTATAGCAGTCTCCATCTTTTATGCCAAACTTAGACTCAAACTGTGATGAATCCATCTTTAATTATGATAAAACAGAATCAAAACTCAGCAAATACTACATTCCACTGTTACCATGGTTACCCAAATCATTAACCTGGGTAAAATCTCTCTTTTACGGTTCACTTTTCCTTACTCAACTAATCTCTTCGTTAATTGTTCTTATTTTTCACTATAAAACATTAATGGAACCACAAAGGAAAGGTTATCCAATTTTAACAAACATAGAAGCTATCCAAGAAACATTTTATATACAGAAATAAAGTGGATTGTTTTACAGGATTTATTTCATTTCCAACGATGCTAATATATTTTAAAGAAGTACAGTATTACCATTCACCAACTACAGGTAAACAACTCCTTCAAGAAATGACTGTGTCTGCAAATTCTTAAACTGTGAGGGGAAACACTGACTGAAACTGCCTGCCCTGGGCATGCAAGATAGTACCACTTGCAAGCTTATCTTAGGACACCAGGTCCTGATAAGGAATGCATAACTACCAAAATATCACTAACTGGAAGAATTGAGGAGAGGTCAAAAGAAGAGAGGAGACTCCAGTCCACATGTCCTACCAACCTCCCAGAATCTTCCTCGCTGGACTCCATCTTCACTAAGCGATGCACTCGCCACCGGGAAGGACAGAGTCAGACAGATTGGCCAGAGACAACCTGGAAACTAACTCCGTTACCATGAAACATTAACCACGAGCCACCTGGCAAGGCAGCTCTGCTGGGCTCCCTGGTCACCCTGCTGCTCAAGGCCCAGGTGCCCCTTCCCAATAAAGTCTCTCCGTTTGTCAGCATGTGTGTCTCCTCCGACAATTCATTCTTCTGAGTGTTAGACAAGAGTCCACTCTCAGGCCCTGAAGGGGTCCCCCTTCCTGCAACAATAGCATGATAGCCATGAGAAAACTTAATACTTTCAAGACTGACTTTGAAAGGACTTCTATATATCAATAATGGAAATCAAAAATGCAATGTAATGGTAAATTTTTACAAATGAAAAATATGAAATATATGAAAATGGTATATTTTATATAAATATATTTATAAAAATCATGTCTTAAATGTTATAAATATATAACTTTATGTTTATATGAATATATTTAATATTTCAGATACAATATTTGAATTTTTATATGTAAAATAATAAAAATATAACATGCTATATATAAAATGTTAAAACTATTATATCAGGATAAAAATTGTATATATTGGAAATGCCATTACCAATTTTTTAAAATCTGTGCATTGGGGGAAAAAACTGAAATAAATGCACAGGAATGTTAACACAGTATTTGTATTTGTGTGATGAGACCCTGGCTGTCATTTTCTTTTCTCCATTATGCTAAATCTTATTTAATGGACTATGTACTACTTTTACAATAAAACAATTTTTAAAAATAAAGGAAATAAATGAGAAGGAGCACTGCTGAGAGGTAAGGAAATGGCATAATTAAAGCAGCTGGTTACCATTTAGTGTATAATTAAACTTTTACTCTGGCAAGGTACTTTTTAGGACATCATAAATGATAACTAAGTTATATAGTATTTGTGCTGGAGAGACACCCTGCCTAATTTTGTCATTTGACAAGTACAAGGAAAAGTTACGTTTATATGATGCTTTATAGTTTACCAAATGCTTTCAAAATGTCACATCATCTATCCTTCAAAGAATCCCGTGAGACAGATTCATACGCCCCACTTCAGGGCTTCCCAAGTGGCGCTAGTGCTAAAGAACCTGTCTGCCAATGCAGGAGACATAAGAGACGCAGGTTCGATCCTTGGGTCGGGAAGATCCCCTGGATCTCCGCAACCCGCTTAGGTATTCCTGCCTGGAGAATCCCGAGGACATTAGAGCCTGGCGAGCTACAGTCCATGGGGTCGCAAAGAGTCGGACACGACTAAAGCGACTTAGCACGCCCCACTTTCAGGATCAGAAAACCGAGGGCTAGAGAGATAATGTATTTATTAATAGTATTTACCATTTACCGACTGATCACTCAAAGTGTTAAGCACAACAGTCACGTGAAAATTATCACCACTTTACAGATCAGAAAACTGAAGGGCATAGGTTACAGCTGAGAGTCACCGTTCTGACTCGAAGCCACAATTTGAAACAGAGGAGTCTTGAGTTATAATCAACTTTGAGGAGTCTTAGTGGTAGAGTCGAGCCCAGTACCCTATGCTTTCTCTACTCCCCTCCTCGCCTACGATTCTTTGAAGAGTGACTTAGGTTGACAACCACTATGGGGGTCTAGAGAGAAAAAGACTAGGTCCAGTAATAACCAAAAACTAATGCTAGCGGAGGGCCTGGTCTCAGGAGGAAGGCAAGGCAGTGAATAACTGAGAATGGAGGGGGCAAGTTTAAGAAGTCTTAACATATACACATGGGGCGGGGGGTGCAGAGGAACAAGAGCAGGGATGACAACATAAATCACGAATCCTGCACCTGACGCTCGCGTTCCTAGGTTCAATTCCTAGAGAGCCTTTTCTCTTCACCTCAACGGCTGCCCGCCGACAACCCCCGGGTTGAGGTCCTACTTAAAAGAAAACGCTGGAACAAACCCATGGTGGGCCAGGCAGAAACAGAGAAGCAACGAGTATTGTAGCTAACAGTGGACGGGGAACTAGGCACCCTGACCACATCTGAGCGGCACCCGAGGGGCCTCGGGCCACCACCAAAGGGAGAAAGCCCAGCGCTCGCGGCGAGGACGGAGGCCCCGAGAGAGGCCGCGGTGCTGGGACTGCCGCCCGCCGAGGCTCGTCCTGGGGCTTGGAGGCCGGCCCAGGAGCCTGGCTACTCACGTTGCACTAGCCGGTCTGCGGAGAAGGTAGAGGAGCAGCTGGTAACGAGGGCGCAGGGGACGCCCGCAGCCATCACTGCGCCCGCGAACCGGTTCCTTCCCGGAGCCACTTCCGCCTTGGGCGATACCAAGGTCGCCGGCGCGCGGGGGAGACGCCCAAGGAAAGCGCGTTCTCAGAAGCCACGGCCGGCCCTGCCTCCTCGCCCGCCCCCTCTTCCGCTCCCGGCGTGGACCAGGCTGGGCTTCGCGTGGCGTTGCCATGGGGACGAGCTCCCACCGCAGCAAGTTCCCGAGTCTGGAGACCGCGCCTTCCTGGGGAGGGAACCCCGCCGGGCTGTAGGCATGGCCCAGGAGAAGGAAAACGAAGACCCTGTCGGATCTATCTTAATCCAGGTGGGAAATGGGCCTCTCCTAACCCTGTCCATCTAAAACCCTTCCAGCGAGCGAGGCCCAGCAGAGCCCATCCACTGACGCTTTCCCACTTAAAAGTGCCGCTTCTCAGATTGCCTCCAACACCATGGTTTAAAGAACTCCCAAGTGTGCTCACCTAGACCTCTCTCGCCAGCCTCACACACCTCTTGAGCCTGACTCTGGAGGTTGCGCGACCGAAGAGCGACCAGTCCGCCTCTGGTAGAACTCCAGGACGAAAAAAAAACAACTCCATGACGATACACCCCACTGGGACCTTTACTTTGGAAAAATCCATGTTCCACTGAGGCACCATTTTTAAATGTTATATTCTGAAAATTTTGATCCTACGATGTAAGGAAAGTGGAGGAGATACAAATCAGACACGTATCTGGGCGGAAATTGAAATAGGTGAACTGCTTTTGATCTCCTGCATTGCAGGCGGATTCTTTACCAGCTGAGTTACAAGGGAAGCCCTGCTTTTCTTAAGTACCCCAATTTTTTTCGCTCTAAAAGTCCCTTGCATATAACGGAGTTCTGGGGAGGTAATGCACACCGTGGTGATTACAGTTAATAATACTGTATATTTGAAAGCGGCTGAGTAAATCTTCCAAGTTATCATCACAAGAAAAAGGTTGTATTATAACTATACGTTGTGATGGATGTTAACTAGCCTCACTGTGGCAATTATTTAGCAATATATACAAATATTGACTGATGTTGTCTATGTGAAACTAATATGATGTCTATGTCAATTATATCTCAATAAAAAATAATAAAAATTCCTTACTTGGGAACAAGATAAAAGCTTGCTAATCAAGTTAAATTTTGCATGTGGAAATGTGACCAAAAGCACAGGAAAGTAACTTTCTCTAATCTGAGGGGGGAACATCAGGAAAGTTTTAATCTCTCAGTACAACTCAGTTTGTGACCTTTACACTCAGACTTTTCCAGAATGTTAAAAGTACTACTCCCCACCCCCCACACACACATTTATATGTGATAGTTTTAGAACATTTTTGACATATCATCACCTTTAACTCATATATAACTCTACTTAACTAAAAGTTTGAAGTAATTTCCCTAAGGACTATCAGAACTCTACTCAGATCTGCACTTGGTCTAATTTTTCTTCCTGCCATGATTTGGTCTCTTACCGCCCCTCTGGGAGACTTCTTTAAATTCACGTTTCCAAAATACAAACCCCTAAACTCACCAATTTTATAGACTTCCCCAATATGAATCATACCCAGATCTTCTTACCTCACCTTTTCTTGCTTTCACCATCACCTTAGAATGAGTTTAGCCAAACTGCCAGGTGTGAGGGAAGAGTCTGCACAAGACTGCCCTCGCTCAGACTCCAGGCACAAGTTCAGGGGTCCCTAGAACTATCCTTATTTCAGACCAGCTGTCTACACTTTTGGAAGCCCCAACCATGTCACGTTGGCTAATTTGCTAGAGCACTCACAAAACTCAGAAAAGCACTATGTTTACAATTACAGTGTTTTCATAGCAAGAGAGTAGAAATTAAAATCAGCCAAGGGAAGAGGTGCTCAGGGCAGAGTCCAGAAGGGGTACAAATGGAGCTTCCAGCCATTTTCTCCCAGTGGAGTCACAGAGGGCATTACCCCCTTTCAGCCATGATATGTGACAACATATACAGACTATGGCAAACTGGGGGAGCTTTCCCAAGACTTTAATGTCCAGAGGCTTTATTGGAGCTCAGTCACAATGCCCATCTGGCTGACTTTAGTCTTCAGCCCTTCCCAGAGAGCAGACTAATAATTTCAATCTAATTCCTCTAGAGATTAGAACTGATACAGCATAGCTCAAAGCACCCATCATAAACCCCATTCCCATCAAGTGGGATACTCCAGGGGCCTAATGATCACTTCCCAGGGTCTAAGGGCAGAGGCTGGATCTCTCTTTGGGAAGAACTAGGAATAATCATATCCATGTTGATCAACATCCCTACTTGCTTAAAAGGGTTACTTTGTACACACTTAAGTGGAGGGCTATGTAGAGAAAGAGAGGCCACCCCTTAATCTAATTATTGAGTCTGATCTGTAGATACAGTGTAAAATTCCCCCTGATACAATGTAGAATATGTATAATGAGGGGAAAAAATTAATATTATATGTAGTCGTGAATGGATATGAGAGATGCACTATAGAGAAAGCTGAGTGCCAGAGAATTGATGCTTTTGAACTGTGGCATTGGAGAAGACTCTTGAGAGTCTCTTGGACTGCAAGGAGATCCAACCAGTCCATCCTAAAGGAAATCAGTCCTGAATGTTCACTGGAAGGACTGAAGCTGAAGCTGAAGCTCCAATACTTTGGCCAACTGATGCGAAGAACTGGCTCATTGGAAAAGACCCTGATGTTGGGAAAGGTTGAAGGTGGGAGGAGAAGAGGATGACAGAGGATGAATGAGATAGTTGGGTGGCATCACCAACTCGATGGACATGAGTTTGGGTAAACTCCAGGAGTTGGTGATAGACAGGGAGGCCTGGCATGCTACAGTCCATGGGGTCACAAAGAGTCGGACATGACTGAGTGACTGAACTGAACTGACTGAACTCTTATGAACCTCTTCTGTCTGGTTTGCCAGGACTGTACAACATATAACAATAAAATGAGAATGACTCATTTAAACTCTTATCTTTAACTTTTATCTCAAAGTGTGACCCTAGGACTAGTAGAGAAATGGAATTATAAGACTGCTTTTGACAAAACTGAGTCTTGTTGCTTGGCTCTTAAATTCTAGGAAATTCCCTGGCAGTCCAGTGGTTAAGACTCCTTATGCCAAGAGCCCAGGTTCAATCCCTGGTTGTGGAACCAAGACTTGGAACTAAGATCCAAGTCTTTTGGTATGGCAAAAGACTAAAAAGTAATTTAAATTGTAGAGCAATTTTTGTCTGCATTAGATCTTTTGAGAGCTTATTATAAGTAGCCCTGTCCCCAAACTGTCAAAATCTTCCTCCAAGTGGGAAATGTATGGAAAGCAATGTATTTGATGATCACAAAAATGATGGATGACACCTAAAATTTCAGTATGGAAGAGTGAATCTATTTGAAGAAAGAACAAAGGTTTAGAACTTAATCTTTTTCTACCCAGGTCTGGCGAAACATTTCCTACAGTAGTTGTCTCTGTTGCAGATATACAAACAGATGTGCAGTTACTAAGAGGGAAGAAGACAATACCTGGCTAGGAAAGTAAAAAGCTCTTGAGAAAGATTAAGAGAATAATTCAAATCAATTAATATTTACTAAGTGCCAGTTACAAAGTGTTTCACTAGGTTTTACCAATCAGAAGAGAATTAGCATTGGCTCAGTGCTCTCCTCTGTGGCTGGTCCTGTACAAAGCACTTTACATATTTTTAACTCATTTTATTCTTGCCACTATATTGAAAGGTGCTATTTATCCCATTTTACAGATAAGAACACTAAGCCTCTTAAAAAAAAAGTAAATTGGCCTATCTCAGTTTAGTAAAGAAGGGAATAGAATTCTAGTTCATAGCTGTCTGATTCCAAAGCCTATATTAGTTCATTTTCACATGTATTGTCTCATTTTATTCCATAAGAAGAGTAATTCTCTTTTTCTCCCTTGGTGAGGACACTAGAGGAAATGTGGATGGTGTGCATGGACATTGTGTGACTAGTAATAGAACAAGGAATCGTGTTCATCTGCCTTTTACCGAGTTTCTACTGTTAGACTATTACCTATTATCTCACAACTCTATGAAGACATAATGGTTCCTACAAAGCAGATGAAGTAGCCAGATTTTCAGTTCCCTGATAAATAATCCAGTGTTGTTTTCACTCCCTCCAGCAGTTGACAGGTATAATTATAGAAGGATACATGAAGCTACAAATACTAGAGCTACAAGAAGGAAATTGAGTGCATTCAAAAGTTGAGCCAAGGGCTTCCCTGGTGGTCCAGTGGTTAAGAATCCTCCTGCCAATACAGGGAACACGGGTTCCATCCCTGCCCTCCAAAGATCCCAAGTGCCTTGTGGCAACTAAGCCTGTGAGCTACAACTACTGAGCCAGCGCTCTAGAGCCCCAACTACTGAAGCCCGTGTGCCTGGAGCCCGTGCCCTGCAACAAGTCACCACACTGAGAAGTCCATGCACAACTAGAGAAAAATGAAGACCCAATGCAGCCGTAAAGAAATAAATCTTGAAAAAGTTAAACCAAAAAATCTTGCCCTTGAACTGGCTTTTTCTACTTTCCAAATGTGTTTAAACAATAGACTGTAAATAGCTTGCAGCAGTAATTTGGACAAAAAAAAATCGAAAAAAGTATTAATACATCTTCATCCTTAGTGCCTATCAGCAAACAGTAGGTGTGTTCAAATTTCAATCTGTGAGCCCTGGAGGCTCGACATGATAATTTGTGCAGGGTACAAATGACCTGATCCGTCTGCCAGACCATGCTGCTCATCAGGGGAAAGATGCAAATCTTTTGATCTTTCAAATACTTGACTCCTTGGGAATGTTTGAGAGTAATTGATAACATAGGCTGGATCAATGTGTAGGTCCAGTTATACCAACAGAGAAAAAGGTAACTGTTTCAAAATGCCTTTAGCAACCCAATCTGCAGATTGTTATTGGTGTGACTATTGCTGAAACAGGTGTTGGGTTCATAAATTTGCATAGCAAAATGTTTCTCATGGGGCAGCAGCCCATGCCATAATTGGTGCCATCTGTTTTTGTCTCCACAAGTTTGGTTTCTAATATGAAGGCAGAGAATCTTGTGCTAATTTTATAATGCTCATGTTACTTGGAGGGTGCTTGACTTTGGAGAAATGTTTATCATTTCTAAGGGAAATATGAACCGAAGGAAAATATTCAAGTAATGACATGTTGCTTTTTCTTCATGGATTGTTTTCATTTCTGAGTACTTAAAACAAAATTAAGGTCACACCTACAGAACTGCTTCTTCAGAGCACTAAGTGGGAAGACCTAGCTAGAATGGAAAACCAACAGACCCTGTCAACATATTTATAATTCTCTTTTGACAGGCACTGTTTTCACTAGAACCTCTCTTTTCTGGAAGTTTTCTTTTTTCTTTTTAACCTCTCAATCAATTAGTAGAAATCAGAGTTTGGAATGAACTTTTTCTTATATCTGAGTCACCTTCTTTTCCACCAGAGAAAGCAGAAGTTATTTGGGTTGCAATTTTATCTTGGATCTGTTTCCAATGGGGGAAGGACAAATAGAAAATTCTATGAAATCTTAATTTTTCAAAATCTGAAAGACAGTAATGGAGCCATCTAATAAAGCACATCCTAGAACTATAAGGACAGTCTTTTCAATGAACACTATCTTTAAATCAACTTTATTGTCTCTAGCAATTCATGCAGGTTGCAAACCTTTAAGCTAAGTAACTGTTTTAGGTGTAAAATTTATGTATTCCTTTACATTTTTCTCTCTCTAGGTCCATGAAGATCTTTATGAATTAAGGGAGAAATTAACAAAATTCCCGCTTGAGGAAAAAGGCGGGGCTCTAGACATTCAGAATCTTGAAACAGCAATCAAAAGGACTGAAATGGGGTTAAAAGTAAGTAGAGCTTTAGATATTAAATAAAATCCTGGAAGGAGACAAAGATTCCTCAAGAAGAACTGTGCTTCTCACAGGTTCTGTGTAATTCTGGAACAGAGGGGACTTCGGTTGGTCATCAGCTTTCCCATCCTGTTCCTTTTTTAAGAATGTTGATTATTTGCTGGTTGATTGATTTACATCCTGTCACATGCCACAAAGAATGTGAGATATGGATAATATATGATTATGCAGTAATTTATGACCCCTAAAATGTGGTTTGATAAAAAGAATTTATAATTTTAAAAATAACTACTTAGTCCAACAGTATGCCTGACAGAAAAGGATTCATACCAATACATTGCAGAGAGTTTCTATCAGAATCACTGGGATTCTAAAAAAATAAGAGTTCACTCTTCCTTAATAGCTTAAGTATTTTAAGATTAAGTAATTTTTAAATATTATAACCTAGTACATAACACTGGAAATAGAAATAAAGTAGATAGGAGGATTTTCCTATGGTGGTCCAGTGGCTAAGACCCCACGCTTCTAATGCAGGGGGGCCTGGGTTCAATTTCTGCTCAGGATATGAGATCCCACATGCTGTAACTAAGAGTTCACATGCCCCAACTAAAGATCCCATGCATGCAATAAAGACCTGGCATAGCCAAATAAATAAATAAATATTTAAAAAATAAAGTAGATAGGACCTTCATTATTATAGATGGACCTAAGGGCACGGGGGAATCCAATCTTCAGACTAGGATAATGTACAAATTCAAGATCTATTAGCAGGTGGTTCCAATAAAGACCACGTCCATCATCTAGACCTCCATCAGCATCTCTACTCTTGCTTCCAACCTTCACTGTTCCATCTTACTGGCTTTCTAGCTCAGCTCCTGAGGCTGAGGGATGTGGTAATATGCTGTTGTCCTATATAACGTGATGGTGAGAGGGCTGGACCCAGCTGGAGTCTTTGGGTTTGGCCATTTAAAATAATCTGTTACCTGAAGGCCAAACTCTTTGCTCAGATGCTTGCTTGAAGTCCTAGTCAGAGAAAGACATTCTGTGTCCATGGTACCGAGCAAGTCTCCCCAACCAAGGAGCAAACTGACTACTGTGCAGTTTCATTTGTGAAGAATGCTACTTAAGCTTCGAGTCTCAACTGTTCATGATGCTTTTTGGGATGAAGTAATTTGCCCTTGAGATGCCTAGTGATACCTTAGGGTTGTAATAAACACATAGCATGTTATGTCTTTTGGCTTAATTACACCACTCAGAGGGTGAACCTAATGAAATGGAGAAAATTAGGTGAGGATTTCCAGTCCACTCTAATGGCCTAAACTTTTACTTTTCTGTAACAGATACACATCGAGAAGTATTTAAACGTTGTACACCAACATGTGTTAACAACTCCTATTGATTATAACTTATATTCGTCTCATGCTTCCAAATGGTAAGTAAAATAGCCATTTTAGGGTCTAAAATAAGTACAAAAATAAAAAAAACCTCTTCTCACTCAGTGAGATGACTGTAAAGACAAAATTTCCTTGGCTTTGTTTATATCCATTCTACTAATTTCCATACAAGTTTTGCATATGAAGATAATGGCAGAATTTAAACTTTAATAAAGTTATTCTGTGTTATTTTTACTGCATTTTAATGCTTGACGTCATTACAGTTATTTCTGGGTCCTAGTTTTGGTGTTACACCTTTTGTATTTTTAGTAAAGCATATCCCAAATTCAAAGGCTTCACTGGTTGCTTAATGAGAAAGAATCTACCTGTCAATGCAGGAGATGCAGATTCAATCCCTGGGTCAGGAAGATCCCTTGCAGAAGGAAATGGCAACCCACACCAATATTCTTGCCTGGGACATCCCATGGACAGAGGACGCTGGTAGGCTACAGTCTATTGGGTCGCAAAAGAATCAGACACGACTTAGTAACTAGATAATAACAACAACATACAAAATTCAATTCCTATAGGAAATATTTTAAAGCAAATCAATTTTTATGCTATTTAGATCATGTGGAGCTTTCTTTACAGTTTTTAGCCTGTCATATGTGCTTTACTGTAAAGATGATTTTAGTATCCAGGGTAAACAAAACAAAAGTAATAAAACTTGCTTGAAATGGTGGCTCAGACAGTGAAGAATCTGTCTGCAATGTAGGATACCCAGGTTCAATCCCTGAGTCAGGAAAATCTCCTGGAGAAGGGAATGGCTACCCACTCTAGTATTCTTGCCTGGGGAATTCCATGGACAGAGGAGCCTGGTGGGCTGCAGTCCACGGGGTCCCAAAGAGTCAGACACAACTGAGCAACTGACATATACATTAATAATACAACCTAAGAGATGATTTATTAAAATTAGTAAAATGACCTTTTCACACACAACTATATATAAAATAGATAACTAATAAGGACCTACTGTATGGCGCAGGGAACTCAATACCCTGTAATGATTTATATAGGAAAAGAATCTAAAAAACAGTGGATATATGTATCAGTATCAGTATCTGTTCAGTTGCTCAGTTGTGTCCGACTCTTTGGGACCTTCTAAACCACAGCACGCCAGACCTACTTGTCTATCACCAACTCCTGGAGTTCACCCAAACTCATGTCCGTTGAGTCGGTGATGCCTTCCAACCATCTCATCCTCTGTCGTCCCCTTCTCCTCCTGCCCTCAATCTTTCCCAGCATCAGGGTCTTTTCAAATGAGTCAGCACTTTGCATCAGGTGGCCAAAGTATTGGAGTTTCAGCTTCAACTTCACTCCCTATAATGAACACCCAGAACTGATCTCCTTTAGGATGGACTGGCTGGATCTCCTTGCAGTCCCAGGGACTCTAGAGTCTTCTCTAATACCACAGTTCAAAAGCATCAATTCTTCGGTGCTCAGCTTTCTTTATAGTCCAACTCACATCCATACATGACTACTGGAAAAACCATAGCCTTGACTAGATGGACCTTTGTTGACAAAGTAATGTCTTTGCTTTTTAATATGCTGTCTATGTTGGTCATAACTTTCTTTTCAAGGAGTAAGTGTTTTTTAATTTCATGGCTGCAATCACCATCTGCAGTGATTGTGGAGCCCAAAAAAATAAAGTCTGCCGCTGTTTCCACTGTTTCCCCATCTGTTTGCCATGAAGTGATGGGACCAGATGCCATGATCTTAGTTTTCTGAATGTTGAGCTTTAAGCCAGCTTCTTCACTCTACTCTTTCACTTTCATCAAGAGGCTCTTAATTCTTCTTCACTTTCTGCCATAAGGGTGGTGTCATCTGCATATCTGAGGTTATTGATATTTCTCCCGGCAATCTTGATTCCAGCTTGTGCTTCTTCCATCCCAGCGTTTCTCATGATGTACTCTGCATATAAGTTAAATAAGCAGGGTGACAACATACAGCCTTGACGTACTCCTTTCCCAATTTGGAACCAGTCTGTTGTTCCATGTCCAGTTCTAACTGTTGCTTCCTGACCTGCATACAAGTTTCTCAAGAGGCAGGTCAGGTGGTCTGACCTGACCATCTCTTGAAGAATTTTCCACAGTTTATTGTGACCCACACAGTCAAAGGCTTTGGCATAGTCAATAAGCAGAAGTAGATGTTTCTCTGGAACTCTCTTGCTTTTTTGATGATCCAGCGGATGTTGGCAACTTGATCTCTGGTTCCTCTGCCTTTTCTAAAACCAGCTTGAACATCTGGGAGTTCACAGTTCACGTATTGCTGAAGCCTGGCTTGGAGAATTTTGAGCATTACTTTACTAGCATGTGAGATGAGTGCAATTGTGCAGTAGTTTGAGCTTTCTTTGGCATTGCCTTTCTTTGGGATTGGAATGAAAACTGACCTTTTCCAGTCCCATGGCCACTGTTGATTTTTCCAAATTTGCTGACATATTGAGTGCAGCACTTTCACAGCATCTTCTTTTAGGATTTGAAATAGCTCAACTGGAATTCCATCACCCCCACTAGCTTTGTAGTGATGCTTCCTAAGTAAGGCCCACTTGACTTCAGATTCCTGGATGTCTGGCTCTAGGTGAGTGTATATACTCTAGGTGAATATAAATATATAACTGATTATAAACCAACCATAGAAAAAAAAATTAAAGACAAATAAAAAGAGAAATAACCTTTTCTTACTTTGGACCTTCTTCCATCCAGGCCTTCTGAATTGAAGTGAATGTAGATCAAGGTTTTGTATGAAGCTTAAAACCCTGTGGTCCTTTTTGCATCATAAATATTTATCAAGAGTAAATGAATCATATCAGACAGGGAGGTCAAGTTTCAGAGAGAAACCCAGAGATACAATCAGGTCCCAGCTCCTGTAGTGGGGAACAGAGCCTCGGGTGTTCAATGTACCCGTTTCCCTTTCCACTCCATGAAGGTAGTGCCACAGGCAACCATCGTCCGCTGGCAGAGGCAACCCTTCCCTAGTCTGTCTAGTCTGAAGTCATTTATATCTTAGGGTTTTGTTTGTTTGTTTTGGCCATACTGTGCAGCTTGTGGGATCTTAGTTCCCCCATCAGATATCAAACCCATGCCCTTGGCAATGAAAGCATGAAGTCTTAACCACTGGACCACCAGGGAATTGCCCTATCTTCGATTTTTTTTTTTTTTAGATTTTTGAATTTGAAAATAAAAATACGATTTTCAAATAGGTTTTTATAAATCATCTTTTGAAACAAGGAATCTGTAGGGAAAATAACAAAAGGGATTCTTGGAGAAGAAAATATTAGAGGTTATTTTACTACCTCTTATTGACTCAGTTCTAAATGAAGAGAACAGGGACTCTTCCCTCATGTCCAGCAGTTAAGGCTCCACACTCTCAATGCAGGGGGCCTGGGTTTGATCCCCAGTCAGGGAACTAGACCCTGCATGCAACAACTAAGACCCAGCACAGCCAAGTAAATAATATTGAAAATAATAATAAATCAAGAGAGCCACACAAGGCAAAGTGGGGGGACTATTTAGATGGGAGCCAGGAGATCTATAGTAGGTGGTGAGTGTGCATTCAAGAGATGGAGTGTACACACAGCAATAAGAAACCTCCAGCATGCCGAAGGTAGGGAAAGTAGGACAGGAGAGGAGAGATGGGAGACGAGGTACCTGTCACCAGCTCTAAAGAAGTTCTCCTGTCCTGTCTCCAGTTCCTCTTTGTCTTCTCATCTTGACGGAGTACAGGGTTTCTGGGCTGTAGTTGTGCATGCTATGATAGCTGAAGAGAACAGATGAGGTAGCAGAGAACCAAATACAAAGATTCTGGCAGAGCACTTTGCTTGTACAGTTCCCCATGGCCAAGGAGCGCCCTTGCCCCTGTTAGGGTCCGGAAGAGTGAAGAAAGATGTGAACTGGGGCATGGAGCTGGCACCCAGAAATGGTCTTTGCCTCCTTCCTTTCCTGTTCAATAAAGTAATACAACCACTGACTGTCTTATCAGGAAGATGGGAGCCTGGCAAGTTTGTAGGAGCCCTACAAGCCTGGGGGAGCATCTCAGTCATAGCTGTGGATTTGGGATGCTAAAGTGGCCTAAAATTTGAAAATGAGATGAAGTGAGCCATGGTCAAAAACTGGAGAGAGTCCAAACTGGGTCTTCAAAGTAAGCAGGTCCAAGGCAGTCGCTGGGAATGGAAGATATAACCTTTTATATATAGGATGGATAAATGACAAGGTCCTACTGTATAGCACAAAGTACTATATTCAGTATCTTATGATAAACCATAATGGAAAATGATATTTTAAAAAGGATGCATGTATATGCATAACTGAATCACTTTGCTGTGTAACAGTAATTAACACAACACTATAATCCAACTGTACTTCAATTTTTAAAACTTAAAGGCCCAGGTTAGAGTCCAGTCAACTGTCTGCAAGTGTCCTCTCCTACACCATAACTATATAAAAGCCAAGAAGTCTAATTTTCACAGAGGATGGTTTTCTTTTTTCGCCAGTATTGCTCAAGAAAAAATCTGGTGGTTTTGTCTAGTAGAGACAAAACCCAGTAGGTACACAACATGATGACAATGGATTCCAGCAAATGGAAGATTTCCCCAGCAGTCATTCAGAAAACAATGATAAGGATATTATCAAAAGTGGTATATTTTCTCCAAAGAGCTCCAAGTGCTTTTGTATTGTTTTCAAAATAGGTTTCATTATTATTCCCACTTTGGCAATGAGTCTTCTTCTGTGTCAAAGTGTGGTTCTTCCTCTTATCATTGCTGGCTTGCACAGATTTTATTGCATGAGATATCTGCTCACACTGTTCTTAACGACCACGCTTTGCTTATTGACACTAGGAGGATGACTACCATCTGTACCAACACCATCAGAACTGCACAGAAATCTTCAGTTTATATTCTCTTGCACTAGTGTTTGAGGGGGGGGAAAAGAACAAAGCAAATAAATAATAGTGAGAAACAATGAGGAGGAAAGAAGAGGTTTCTGTTAAATGATAAGCATAG